TGCCATTTATAAGGCGAAAAAAAAAAAAAATCCAACACCTGCATTAAAAATTGAAAAAAAAAAATTCAACCCTTCCCACCTCAACCTGGAAACCTTCCCGAGCCCCTCACCCCCTCCAGTAACTGCCCCACAGCCGGCAGACGCAGCTCGGGAGGATAAAGGCCGCTGCGGTGGGCGGTTAGAGCTGTTACCTCAGCCTCCTCGCACAGGTGGGTGAGGGGCGGTGGGAACAGCCTTTGCTGGGCGGGTCCTGTGAGCACCGCCTCTGCGCCGCCTTACAGGGCCCGCCCGGCCCAAGCCCCTCCTCAGCGCCCTGGCCCGCTCTCAGCCTCATCTCCCCTTCCCTCTACAGCGCCATGCGGCTCTCTCCCTGCGCCTTGGTGCTCTTGGGGCTCCTGGGGGTCCTGTGCCATGGCGGCGCGTCAGGTGAGTGCGGCGCGGGGAAGGGGACGGGGAGGACACTGTGGGCCGTGGCCGCCATTAGGCGGCAGGAGGGTGTTTGGAGCTAGTGGAGTCTGGCTTGTAGCGGCGAGAGGGTGTTTTTGGAAGGGTCGGCGTCTAGGAGGAGGGAGGGGAAGGGGCTTGGTATGAGGAGGGGCCTGCACAGCCTTTTTTGGGGGTGTCCCTGGTGGTGGTGAGAGTTGAGCAGAAGTGACGATCAAAGGGAAGATGTAGCTGCCTGCGGAGCTAGAGAAGGGTTTATATATTCATGGTTATCTTGATGTGGGCAGGGAGAACCCGTTTCCTCTCCACTCCCCCTTCTTAAAGATTTTTTTTTTTTTTGCAGCTTAATTGCTATGAATGCCGTAATTTTAATTCTTGCATGTATCTGTTGGTGTGATTTTCACTATGCTGTTGTAGGGACATGGTACAGGCTGATGAGGCTGGTCTAGAGTTGTATTCCTTCTCAGGAAAGAAGGTGGCATTCACTACTTAAGAGTTTATGTGCAAAAGGAAACAAGGTTAATAGTGTTGGGTTGTTTTTTGTTTTTTTTTTTTTTTTTTTTTTTTTTTTTGGACCACGTACAGGTGGTTGTGGATCCCAGGACCCTGGAAATTGTGTGTTGAAAACCACCATACCTATAAAATTAAGGAGATGAACGAAACCCCCTAGAATTTGGAGCTTGGTTCCTAAAATTACTTGTTGGCCATGCTGATGTAATCTGACTTTATTTGGTAGGGACTTTTTCTGTAATTCCCATGTTCCTGCATGTGAACTAAAATAGGTGTCCAGTGGTAAATGTACTGTAATGAGTATAGCTTGTGAAGACTTAATAGCTGCTTACTTTTTTTCTGCTTAAGCTCTTATCTGTTCAAATAAAGGGGAAAAAAAGTCGATTTCCTTTCAGAGATAATTTAGAGATGAGTGAGCCCTTACGTTAGGGTTTATGTAATCTTCCTCTTATTATTATTTTCTTTATTTTAAAACTTGTCTCTAATGAAGCTTAATTGTCCAGAAGGAGAAAGATACTCTTGGGATACTTTGCAAGGCTGCAGGAGAGCCTTTGGAATCAGTCTCAGGTGTGGAAGACTTTTTTCCCCCCCAGTCTCATCACCAAGATTTTACTGGAGAGCCAAGTGTTCCCTGCTTCTTGCAGGCCCTAGAAGCTTAGGGTTGGCACCCGAAGGTAGCAAGTAGGTCTGAGAATGAAGGCTCAGTTTCTTACATTTTACTGTTTATATTAAAAGATGCTCACAAGCAATTTGTCTCACAGACTTGATTGAAAATAGGTCATGTTGAGTAATTTTTGTACAGTATGTAAAAAGGCAGAATGAATGTGAGACTAAGCTAACTGCTTTGCCTTGAAGGAGTCTGTTGCTGCATTTTCTTATGGAATTGAGGGTGGAAGGGGAAAGTGTTTTCCTCGTGAAAAGCTAGTAAGCTGTGTAATTTGTGTACCAAAGTCTAGGTGATCATTAGGCACTTCAAACAAGGACATTTGCTTAATGTTCACTTATTTAAATTTGTCTTGTGGTTATTCAGCCTTGGACGCTCAGGTTTGCAGGGATGGGCTCTGCTGTCTCCTAGTGCTAGAATATCCTGCTTCATTTTAAAAGTGCTGATAAGTAAAATCTGTACGTGATGACCTATATAACTTCTCTGAGGTTTTGATGAGCTGCAGCTCTTCAGACTTAGTATGTGTGAGAAAGTGTTTTTTATGTCACGTTTGTTACCTCCCCAGGGAGCTCTACCTTCGTGAAGCAGAAGTGCAGCTGGCCTTGTTTCCTACATCCAAAACAGGTTGTTTAGTGTTGGAAAAACTAAAGTGAGTTTATAGTGTAATTGGGATTGAGCAGTGCCCCTTTTCATAAACAGAGCTTATCTGTATGAATTTGGTTTGTGCTAGCTGTTTAGTCTGTGCAGAGACAATGTTTTAAAATAAGAGGTTCACACAAAGCTATTCAGCTGTCTGAATGTATTGGACAGCTGGTCACTTGCATCTTGAAGCGTTATTGCCCAGATGAGTGAGTGACATCTTAATCAACAGTGCCAGCAATGTGACTGAGGCCAGTTCTTGTGTGCTCTGGCTGATAATCAAAGTAGATTAGTAAAACTGTAAGCAGGTAAGACAGGTGGTACTTCCTTCACTTTTCAGACTGTGGAAGATCTCATGACATCTATACCTTGAACAGGATAGTCTTCTGTAATGGGAGTGGTGCAGTTTGTGACAAGCCACGTTCTGTGGCACTAGCTGCTTTAAGCATCAAACTGCTCTAAGCATGCATGCAATTAAAATGTAGACGCTTTCATAAATCTTCTTGCTTCTTTTGGGAGTGGGGTGGGGGATATCTTTATTTGGGGTTTCATTTGTGTGGGAAGACCTTGTAGTAGGACTCTGCTGTTCATCCATGTATGTATGGCCTTACAGGTTGGATATAACATGGCTGCTGGTTTTATTCTGTTAAGTAACTGTATGCTCATGCATTCCCTACTCAAACTAGTTCTCAATCTGAGCTTGCATTTCATCCATATTAAATGTCTTCATGTGACTACTTCTTGACATACTTCCTAAGCTGGAAGGTTCTTAACTCTTAAATCTTATGTAAAGTTGTTCTGCATATCTACTGCAAGCTGGTTGGTGTGGAGTAGAAATGCATTTTCTGTGGTTGTGGAGAACCTCTTTGCCTGAGGCAAACACACTGTTTGAGCTCTGCTCTGTAGGTAAAGACTGTTCCTGCATGGGCAGCAGTGGCATTTCTTCAGTTATGTTTCTTAATGGAAATTGGACTGCTAGGTGTCATCAAGACCCTTGTATGGTTAGCTCTTTATTGGTGATGGGGAGTGACACTTGACTGTTGGAGCCGGAAATGTGGTTTACTTAAAGCATCAGATGAACTGAGAGCTTGGCACTCAATCAGCAGAGTGGAAATGGTTTAAGTTGGCTGTTGCTCATTGGGGGGAAAAAATGCTCATTGCATGTCACAGGGAAGGGATAGTAAATGCTGATCCTCCATAGAGCTGACTACTTTGTTTCTTTTCTTTGTTACAAGGACTTTTAATCTCAGCTCTGAGAGGTTCAATTCCTTTGCTGTCTTTATTGGTTGTGCCCTTCATGTGGGAAAAAGATACAATGTGGAGTGATAGAGTGGACTGTTGTTAATCTCTGCTCATCAGTTCTCTTTCATGTGCTAAAATATCTGTGCTCCTGTTCTAGTATTGGCAATACTAGTATACCAAGTAAGACATGCTCCGTACTCCATCTTTGCTCTGCTCTTGCTCGGATTCAATAATGATGACTTCCTTTAAGTATATTTTCAGTTGATAATCTCAGTAATAGTGAGGGTTCCTTTTTTGTATCTAACCCAAAACTACTCTGACATGCAGTGACCATCATACTTATCTCTACAAGGAAAGGAAGAGAGGGGATAGCTTGGCACCTTACAAGGTGTTTCTGGATCTCCACTGCTTAAAACAAGTGAAGCAATAAAAGCTGGGATGCCTGGATTTTGTTCCTGGCTCTGTTTCTGACTGGCTGGGTCAACTGCCTCACTTCTGTGGTGGTGTTGTCTTTGCTGCATGTGCTGTTAAACCTGCAGTCCTGTTTGGTGTGCTACCTTCAGTGAGATCAAGCTTGCCCAAAGAAGCAGCTTGCATGCTGTGGCTAGTACTATGTATTCAGGGAGGTTTTAGTGTCTGTCCTTCAAAGCCTCTTTGACAACACTGAACTCTGTATGGCTCAGGTAGTCTCATGCCTGTCTGAGAACTTGCAATAGCAATGGGCCTCATGAATTGAGTTGGTTCATTTGCCTTGCTCTCAATGTTCCCTTTCTGCCTCAGAGCCCCACCGGTGACTTGTTCAAATGACAGAAAAAGAGAAGGCTGGAAAGGTGCTGTAGTCTGTGGCTGTGTAGCAATTGCCCTTCCAGCAAACTTCTTGGAAGGTTCTGCTGTTCTGCAGTGCTTGTGAGCTCTCCTTTTAGTCATCTTTCAAGCCTGGCTAGAGGTGTGGTTCAAGGAGCCTGTGAACAAGCTGAAGAATACTTGTTTGATGGATGTAGCCATTCTTGTTCTTCACCCCGAATCTAGGCTCTTCTGTCCAGACTTTGGTTTAGAATATGTCACATGCACTGTTTTAGGAGCAATTATGCAAACAGTAAAGCAATGTAGAACACCATGCTTTAATTTACCATGCTAATTAAACTTGAGATTGTGCCTCTGACATTTAGAGTCTCATGATCGTGTTGAAGTAGTTTCTGCATGTCTTGCTGACGAATTGGTTCTTATTTATGCAGAGGCCTCTGGATATGAGTATAGAGTGGAGGTGAGAAACAAGACAGAGCAATGCAGTTTTTTTCCCTTGCTGTAGAGCATAGGAAGGATGTATATGGTTTCAGCTTTTTTTTAAAAAAAGAACGTGTAAGTGTGAACATTTTGCAGTTTATGAGACTGTGCTGAAGTTCTTAAAGATCAAAGACACTTTTCCTGCATTCTAAGCTTTCACTCCGAATTTCTGAGTGCATAGATGTATAGTCTGTGCCTTTTTAATGCTTTTCTTCAGCATTCATACTGCTAGTTGCATTTTTGATAGAACTTAAGGGCTAAGGAGGAAAGGGGTCTTGTGAAGGCAAGGCTATCTGAATGCTGCTCCAGGGACTCTAGCTGAAACTGAATAATACTCAAAGCTTTTCCGTAGCTCTGATTTTATGTTATTTACTGTTTGAAAACTTGAAGTAGAACCTTTTCTATCTTAACACAAGCTACAGATGATGGGGCAGGAAAAATTGAGACTCTTTTTTTTCCCCTTTCCTAGGTGGCTTATGATCCCCATATTTCGTCTGGGGTTTTATTGGTGATGCAATGTCAAATTTTGGGGGCAAGCATGTAAGGATTGAATTTAGCAAGGCGAGATGAGTTAAATTTTTCCTGCCTTTCTTCCTCTGCTGTAAGATGAGTGGAGGAGGCATGAGGGTAGGAGTTCACCTCTTTACATATCATGAAGAAGCAAAGAAAGCTGGCCAAAGATGCCAGTTCTTGTCAGGGAAGAGTGGAAAAATAACAAGAAAGGTGTACAGAGTACTGGGTACAGAGTTTCAGATGAGAAGACAATCCTTCACTTTTTTGGGTGGGAGACAACTGGAGTCATCAGCAACAGTGTATATGGGATGGTGCTGTTGGTTAGTCTGTGCTTCTGAGGGAGTACTTAACAGTATCAGCCCTTTACACTAGAATAGGCAGCGTCGTTGTGTATGTGTTTAGGCTGGGGTACTGTGTTCACACAGGGGAATTTGGTGGGGGGGAAAAAGGCAAACGCCCAAAAGGCGTTGTACGTGCTCTTCCAGCATCTGGACTGCCTGCTAACCAACAACAAAAGAGAATCTTATGGCTTCTGTACAGCTGCTTCTTTCCTCACTTGACGTTCCCCATCCCTCAAGAGCCCAGCACAGGGAGAAACCTGGCTTTCTTGCAGGACTTGAATGACAAGCCAAAGCTGATTCTCAAAGAATGTTAACATCCTAGGTCATGTGGTTCTCATTAAACTAAAATGACAGTGGATCATGGGATTATGCTCATCATAAGAAAAAATAGTCTTCATTGTACCTTGGAAAAAATTAGTTAGATTTTTAGGTGTAGAAATCAGGGTCCAGCAGTCCTAATGGTTAAGAATAGTGTGGGAGCAAAAGACATGTGAAAAGGTTGAAAGTGGGTAAGTATGCATATGTAAACTACAGATTTCACTCTGCTATTGAAGTTGACTCCAGTTCCCATGGTCTGGGAATTCACCCAGGAAGTCTAACTGGTATTATGCGAGTTGACTGGCTAATACAAGCATACTTGCCTGTATTTGCTGAGGAGCAAGTGTCCTCAGTATCCTCTCTTATTTACTCTACTCAATGTTACTTGCTGTTGATTGCACTATCTGGTCAGCTGCAGCTAGTGTCTGTTGCGGATGAGCTCGCCTGTATCAAATACGGTGTTGTTGGCAGGAAGTCCTGCCCTATGTGCTTCGGTGAGTACCAGGCTGCATGATGGGTTTTCTATCTGTATCTGTTCTTGTAGGTGTAGCTTTGTGTGTAGTAGTCTCAAACCTTAATACAGCTTACAGGGTGAGAATGGTGTAAAACAATATCTTGTTCTGTTCCCAGATGACTAATGTTGGGCTACTGAAGCTTTCAGGCTCCCCTTGGTAATTGCTTCCCTCTTGACAAAAAAAGTGGATCTTCCTTTTCTTGTAATGCAGGTCTTCTTGAGCTCTCCTTGGGAAAATTCAGGAACGTGCTACTTAACCAGACCAATCCAGTGGAAGCTGTAATCAGGAACATTGCAAGCAATGTGACTGTCATTATTTTTCAAGTACATGCTCAGAAAAGCGATGTGGTGATATCCTTTGATAAGGTACAGTAAGAGTGTCACTTCTGTTCTTAAGTGCTACTTTTCTTTCAACAAAGGAGTTGGCTCTGGTACATGTGGGAATATGGAACGGAAGCTGTATAATATGAATATTTTACCTGCATGGCTCTTAGGATTTCTGAAGCTAAAGTAATACTTTCTCATACTTATGTCGTAGCTGCTATTTTGGAGGACTGAATGCTAAAGAAATTCCAGAGCTGGCTTGAAAATGTTTCAAGACTCTTGCTCTTGGTGGAAGCGGTGCTTTTGACATGTGACTGCTGACTACTGTCCATCAGCTTGTCAAATTAAAACTAGGTTCATGATCAGTATTTACCAGATACCTTATACAATAAACATGCTTACTTTGGGATGTCTGATTGTCAGCTGTTTTTGTGTCTTTTTTTGTGGCTTGGATCTAGCCACTGCAGATACGGTCTTGTTATTCCAGCTGCTTGTCCTGAATTTAACTCTCCTTTGGTGGGATATGGAGAAATTCCTCCACACTATATGGAGAAATTCCTCCACATTATAGTGAAGTCTGCTACTTCTAGATAACAATATAAGCATTCCTACTGCTATACACTAGCCTCAGTTTGTCCCGTTGTTAATGGGATGCAACTTAAAATACTGATTTTAAGTGCTGTGAGGCTCTAAGTGGTGTTTGAGCAGAACATGGACTAAGCTGCAGGTAGTAGATGGAGATCTGACAGTTATCATCCAGTTTCCTGCTCGCCATCAGTATTTGCCAAATGAGGGTAGAGAGAGTGCCAAGAAGTATCTTGGGAAGCTTAGGAGGTGAATAACCTGAAACGCAAGTCACCCAGCTGCTCACTTGTCTTTGTACTGGTGAAATAGCAAGGATTACAGGGCTAAAGCATTCCTGTTATCCCTATTTAGTCTTGGACTACCAGTGGTGGAATTTTTTGCTGTCATTTCAGACCCTCTTTGCAGTCATTTGCCTTACTGGACCAAGGACAGTGGTGCAAAAATATGGGTGTATTGCTTTTAGGGCTGGTTTGCCTCTGGAAATGTGGAGCTGAGACAGACCTTAAAGCCTGCTAGGTCCAAAGTGCCTCTTTACAGTGTTGCCTCAGATAACTGTGGTTGTCTTGGAAAAAACCACATTTTCCATGCTGAAAAATATTTGACTGGAGGCCAACTGGTTGTTCTAGCCATGTGAGTGTGACACTGCCATTGCTGCCCAATCTTTCCTCAAGACCCTGGTTCAGAAAAGGATGGTACTGGTGGGCATTGGGTCAGTAGCTGACCTGGCCCCAAGGACTTGTCTGGTATAGGTAATGTTAAGCCAGCTACCGTATAGTCATCTCCATTCTGATGAAGACAGTGAAGTGCTTCTGCACTTTGGTTCCCAGAATACCCTTTAGTGCCATCTCACAACACTTTGTGAGGGGCATTCCAATCTTTTTACACCTTTACTAGTCACTATGGGTCTATAGCAGTAGGCTCCCGATGGGTTCCAGGCTGGTTTCTTCCGGTTCCGATTGGCCTCAACTGGTCTCAACCAGTTGCGCTCTATTGCGACCACTTTCGACCTGTTCCGACTGGTCTCTGCTTGTGATTATTAACTCTTTAGTAGTCTCAAACTTATCACTTGGGTTTGTGAGCCTGAACTAGGCTGTGTGTCATGTCAGAAGCCACTCCCTTTTTTCCAGCTCCTTTTTTTTTTTACTATCTTTTTTTACTAGTCTTCCTTTTTTACTAGCTAGCTAGGGGCTGAATGCCTCATCTGTGGTGACTGGCACAGAAATGTGTCCTACAGGTTTGTGGCAGAAACACAATTCCTGTGCAATACATCAAGCTGTGGTGGAAATCTTCTCGAGAACTGTTTGTTCATATAATTTGTTTTTGTCCAGAATCCATCTGTGAACAGTTCAGGAACTGGAGTAGACAAAGGACTGGTTTCCATCCTTCGACCCCAACAGAGCGTATGTACATGGTACCTTCGATCACTGGATGCTAGCCAGGTGCTCAGCACAGCTATTTCTATTCCGTATATGGAGAAAGGTATGTTCTTATTACTTGTTAAGGGATACCAGCTCTTAGTACAAGTTAACTGTGAAATCAAGTGTTGACCTTTCAGAGGTGATATTCTTACATGATGTGGACATATGATGGAGATGCCAGAAATTCTTTGGAAATGGGCTGAAAAAGCTTAGTATTACTGATGAATTGTGAGTTGTGACAAGACCATACAGTACATCCTATGCACAACTTCAGCCTTGCAGCAGAAAAGTGCTTTGCATATGTATCAGGACCTATCTTAGACTGCAGTGAAACCATTTGTTTCATCTACAGGACTAGAACCTGACAATTTAATGTGCTGAGCAAGCAGACCATGCCTGCAAGTACATGCATTGTGGAGGTCTTAGAACTATTTTCATGCTGTGTAAGGGGGAAGTAAAAACTATACAGTTATCTTTTCTGTGTTCTAGATCCTATTCCTGGAGGCTGCAATCTCGAATTTGACTTGGAAGTGGATCCGAATATTTACCTGGACTATACATTGGTTGATATACACATCAAGTTTGCCCCTGCAAACTTGGGATATACCAGGTGTGTGAAAAACTTCAGTGCACTTCTTTGTCCTATATTTGGCCAAGATCATAAAATAAGATTCTGCCGAAAAGGCTAACCATCCAGCTGCTGTCAGGAATCTTGTTTTCTGCAGCAAACTCATAAGTAAATGAGGGAAAGGAGGAGGGGGAGAGGTAATACATGAGAGAGAAAAGTTGAGAGTTGTGTCTTGTGGGAGAGGTTATGTAACTTCAGATGTGCAAGCAGTCAGCAAATACTGCATCTTCCAATTCCTCATAATGACTTAATCTGAGGAGCAATTGTGTATTATAGCCAGTTTCATTCTGTTACTGGTACTGAAGCATGATATTGACCTATAATTTTGTTTAGCATTGAGACTTCAAGTTCTAAGGCACTATTTGCTGAATGGTGCCTGGTGTCACAGGTTATAGGCAGGGAATGGGGAAGGCTATGTTCACAGACCTGTATATATAGCATGTATGGAAATACTAACAGTGATGCTGTGATCTTTCACCGTTGTGACCTCTTGGAATTCTTGTGCTGATTCCTTATGATAACTCATAGGAAGCCTCTGTAAATGTAAAGGTGGGCACCAGCACAGACACCACCTGCTTCAGGGTGGTTCTGCATAGTACTGCTGTAGTTTGTGCTCATAAACGTTTGCGGTCTAGTTTTGGATTAGTTGCTGGTGTTAACTTCTAAAGAGCAAAAGCCAAATACTGCCAACTCAGACAGGGAACTTTTGAAAATTAACATTAAGATCTGGGGGCTTGCGCTGGGCATGTAACTTATCTCTTTTTAAATGTAGAGGAGCAAGCCCGCCGTCCTGTGATTCAGGGACTGGTCAGAACTCCAGATGGCGACTGCGCTATGATGTGTACCAGTACTTCTTACCAGAGAATGAACTTTCTGAGATGGTACTCATGAGCCACATACGGAAGATGTCTGAGGTGCGAAGTATCAAAGCTAACGGCATTAAAGTAAGTCTGAAGCACAGGTGTAGCAGGCGTGTGGCAGTGGCACTACCTTAAATTTTCTCTTTTGTACTTGTCTTCCTTGAGTGGTGACATAAGCAGGCAGCTGATGCTTCAGGCTTCTTGCTTGTATCAGGGATTTCTGACTAGGAAGGATACAGCGAGTGCTACATGCAAAATGGCAACCACTCTCTCAGGATAGAGATAGCTAGTTAGCACAACCAGAATTTGAGGCAGAATTGAGGCTTCTTGCAGTGGACTCTGATATTAGGTAGATGTTAGTGACTGGTCTGAGATGTTTCTGTGTCTTGCACCCTTTCTCAGTTAAACAAGATCTTATTGCAGTGTCTTCCTGCTTACCGAATACTGCTTTAGCCACAGTGCTCCTTGAGTGATGTTGAGGCCAGCTTGCCTATAGCTATATTGACAATAAGCGCCTGTAAATCCAGAAATAAAGCCACTTCAGGCAAAGATGGATAGTCTCCTATAATGCCTGATAGATGCTGAGGTCTGGCACACTCACATGATGAGGACTGAGCAGCGAATGCAAAGAAGAGAGGAAAGAGGAGAATATAGCAGAACTGGACTAGAAATGGGCAGCATTTGGAGTGGTATAAAGAGATCTGATATGTGAGAGCAAATGCTTCATGGTGACGTACCCCCCAGCAAAGAGACTGGAAGGGACAGAGGAGAATCTTAGTGGCCATAACCTGTCTGGTCTTGCTAGGGAGTAGAATGGCAGCCTTGCCTACTTCAGAGGCCAGACGTGGGTTGGCAGACTGGCAGGGAACCTGAACTGTGTCCTCAAATGGGGAGGAGCAAAACATGTGAGTGGGAGAATCTTCTCCCCTGTCAGAAAACATAGTAATGTTGGAGGAAGTGGAGCCTGTCCTGTGAGCCTTCAATGCTTCAATTGGTAGTACTGAGGAGGGTTCAGAATAGGAGAGCTCTTGCCTGGAGTTCTTGCTGATCAACTTCCTTGAGCTGCTGAGTATTGCCTCAGCTGTGAGGACACGTCACTGTTGCTGATGACATGTTGATAAGCAATTCGTTGCAGTTAAAAATATTCTTTACTGTTCCAGATGCTTACCCTGACAACTGATGACAAGACCAATGTTTACTTTTCCTCACTTCCTGGACAAGGTGTGATCTACAATGTCATAGTATGGGATCCTCTTTGGAATACATCTGCTGCATACATACCTGTGCATACATATGCCTGCAGCTTTGCTGACCTGGTGGATAACTGCTCTTCTCTCAGTAAGTTGGGACTTGTACATCCTTGACAATTCCTGTTGAGCTTCTTGTGCTCCAACATGCTGAGTGGTACTTCTGATATTTTTTTTGCATATGTGAAGGAGCTATTAGTTTTACACTGGATGTATTTTGTTACTTTATCATAAAGTCTACTTCTTGATTGAGAAGAAAGTCTAGAATGATAAGACTAAGGAGGGCTATTATCAATTGAAGATTTAACTTAAGGGAGGTTTAATATGTGGCTTGTGAATATATAACTTTCAACTCTGTAGTACTGCTCTAGATTTTTCCTTTTGAATTGGATAGATATATAATCTTAAATCACTTGTAGGACTATAGATGCTGCACGTTAGACTAAGCTAATAAAGCATGAACTAGACTAGGGCCCAGCCTGACTTTCTTCCAAACTGTGCTGGTGCTAACAGGAATCAGTAGCCTACAAATATTTTGGAAGGAGATAGTCACCTAAAATAAGCATGAAGGTAGTGTCAGCAATAGTGAAATGACTACAAAGTCATGCTACTTTGTACAAAGCTATAAAGTGATAGAATTTGAGTGGAAAAAGAGCAAAGCTACCACTTCGATTATGCCTGTGGAAGGGACAAGAATAATGGGTAGAATGTGGTTCTTAAAGTAAGATTTTTTTTTTCTTGTGATTATTTATTGTATACTGTAACACAAGTAACTTATCGACCTTCGTGTTGTGTTACAGCAACATGAGACAAAAAAAATCAAGGACTAAACCCCTTATTTCTAATTTGGAAAACAAGGAAAATGTGGCTTACTTGTTTCAAATAGCTTAAATTCCTGTAAAAATTTTGCCTAGGAGACAGAGGTGAGCCATACTGGGATGCTGATCGTCCTTTCTGTTGCATGGAAAATGTATTAAAGGGAGACTACGGTGAAGGCTGCAGTGATAAAGACTATAGCTGCTGTCTTGGTCACTAATCCTGTAGCACTGATTTTTATAGATGGTTGGTTGTCCCTTTTGTAGAGCTGAGCAAAGAATTTTCAGGTAGCTGAATCATAAACAGCAAGTTACAGCTGCTTAATTGTTACAGAAATTTCAGCCTTTTGAATAAAGGAGGAAACTCTTGATTTCTTAATCAGACTGGAACTACTTCAATATTCTGTTGGAGATCCTGTCAAGATAACCGTTAGTTCAGGCATTGCAGATCTGCTCACATGGTGTGTCTGAAGGAGTGGCAGCTATTAAGTTGTCAGTAGACTCAGTGACAGCAACCTGACCTTACCGTAGTCTCATTGTTGGGACTACTAGGTGGAATGCTTTAGTAACTCTCTCTTTCTCCATGTAGGCAAACTCTCTACCAAAGTATTCTTCACTGCTTTTGCTGTGCTTGGTCTTTTCACTTGCTTTTTTGGACACAGATTCTGGAAAACAGGTACTGAATGTTTTTTCTTCTCGTATATCTGGTTAGAATTTCATAGATCTAACTTGCAGTAACTTAGAATGGTGGTGTTATTACTAAGAATCACTTGATGGTGATTACATGCAAATTAGGTCCACTGCTTTGCTTTACAGGATCAGAGCTTTAAAGTGCAGAGCAAGAACCTTCTGGTATTCAACAGGAACCAAGAACTAGGGTGCATGCTGGGGAACATAAATATAAATGTGTAATTTATTTACTGTTTGAAGTGCTTGAGGATGCCCTTTTGCAGAACAAAGTACTGTCTGGCTTTCCTTTTGTGCTTCTCAGGCAGTGAGCTGAGATGTTCCTTCCCTGTTGTAACATGAAGATGTACTGAAGTGGGCTTGGTATGAAGTGATATGACAGCATACTAAATCTTTTTTTTTCCCCCTTTTTTCTCTAGACTTATTCTTCATGGGCTTCATATTCACAGGATTCTTCTTCTTTGTATTCATTACAAGGGTAACTGGCCTTGGTTATGATGGTGAGTAGATGTGTCAGGATACCCTGTGCTCTTCCCAAAATATTATTGGTATGAATCCTCTAATTAAAAAAAAAAGAAAACATCTCAGTTGTGCTTCTTGTTGGCTAGCCTTAGGAAGGATAGGAGGATGATACCTGGGTACTTGAATTGAGCTCTGATTACTGTAATAGCTGAATACACAACAGAGTAACTTGCTTCTGACGTCAAATAGTGATGCAGAATTAAATAGCTGCAATTGTAGAAGACAAATTTGAGTATCTATCCAAGGAAGATACAGGGTTTTAGAAACTTTGGAAATTTGCAATATACTTTCTTCTGCTTTCATAATGGTTGGAACTCAGTTTCACATCAATGCAGATTTCATCTGTAAAATGACAGAGTGGAAGGTTTACATCCTGCTTGTTAGACTGTCAAGAATTAGTTCCTTTTGTCTGCCTCATATAGTTACTTTTTAATACATACGCACTAGCTGTTCTGCCTGTAACTGCCCTGGGAACTGAAGGCATAAATGTACATAGTAGCAAGACTTTAATTCCAGTCCTATGCCACTCTTTCAGTTGCACACCCTCAGTTGCAGACTGGACTCTTGAGTGAAATGCGTGAAGCAAATACTGATACTCTTGGCTTTTATAAAAAAGTTTTCGTTAGGTAACAAAATCAAGCATGTAAGTAAAGCTGCTGAATGCTATTGCAGTAACTGATGTTTTCAGAGTGTTGCCACAATTCTTAGTTTGGAACTTCCCCTTTTCTTTTTCAGTGCGTCTTCTTTTGACAGCAGTGGCTGGAATTATTGGAGGGTTTTTCCTGGTTGCAAGCTGGTGGAGATTTGGCTCTGTCCTACTTTGTATGTTTATTATTGGACTTGTGCTGGGATTTCTCTTTTCATCGACAGTTGTCTTCACTCCACTAGGTATGCACTGAAATACTCTGCAAGGTACTGGCTATTGAGTGAAGCATTCCTCCTGTGTTACAGGGACACTGCAAGGCTCTAAGATAAATGCCCCTGTCTGATTTGTCTTGGTGTGATGTTTAACTTTCCCTTTCCAGTGTTGGGAGGAATAGCGATGTACCTGAAACCTTTCAGGTGTGCTGTAATTAAAACTACTTAGGGATTCTGCATGGGTGCAGAAAAGGTGGGAAAAGGAAACTGCTTAGTCTGCAGAGAACTTGCTGAGGCTCTTCCCACCTAAGATGCATGCCATTGCAGAAGTCTGTGGCATCAGCTTTGCTGCAGGCAAGGATTTGCTGTCTGTCTTGTTCTCTATCCAGAGCAAGATACAGTAGAAATCTGCAGTCTAACTTGAAGGTTTCAGTCATAAAGGTATCAAGAATTAAGAGCTCTTGCTGTTACTTTCACCATACTACAGTGCAAGGCTCTGGGACCACTACCCTGTAAGAGTCAAACTTGTATTTGCAGCTGGATTAACTTTGTCAAGATCTTTTAGAATGGCTTTCAGAAGAGAGAAGCAATAAACAAATCACTTAAAAGCAAGTGAGGCTGCTGACCTGGGATCCATCAGGGACATCAGAGCATCAGACTGCTTTCTCTATTGTAATTTTCAGTCTCAAAGCTCTTCTACTTAAGATCCCTTGGTGGTGCAGAATTTCATTCTCCAGTCATCTGTGTTTGACTTAAGCCACAATTCTGTGGTAATCCATGCAGTCCCTGGTTGCTCTTCATTAAAGTAAACCTGTGGCTCGGCTGGGGGTCAGCTTGTCCCTTCTGTTTAACTGGCAGGCCTTAGAAAGCAGGGGGAACAAAGTAGTGTTTAAGTGACTTAATTACTCTTCCTAAAGCCAGAAGAGTTTGTTGCCTCGTGTTGTGATGGCTGCACTTGCACTGTGCTCTAGAGTCAAACTTACATAGGTGCAGGTTTATAGATTATAAAACTATATAAGCAATAAAATGGCTTCTTGTTGGGCAGAAGTACTCTAGTACTTTTCTTTCTTATCAGATAAGTAATGTATACCTCATCAGACATCTTTGTTTCATGGACAAGATCTGCTGTCCCAACTTAAAGAGCCAATACTCAACTGGGACAGGCTTTTTCTGTTCTTATTTTGGGTAACTGTGTTACATCTTAAACGATCAGTATTTGAGTTCAAAAGCTAAGCTTTTCAGCACTGTACTCTAGATTTCTGAGTGTACAGAATCTATGGGGGAAAAGCTCACCCCCAACCACTTACAAAAAATGAAATGTTTTGCTATCTAGTAAATTGCATGTGAAACATGGTGTCTTTGCAGGAGACTACAGAGTCTTTCGTGATGATGTTGTGTTCTGGGTGACTTTTTCTTCTGTAGCCTTGATGATTCCAGTGCTTTTTGTTGGCTGTCCAAGAATTGTAAGTAATCTGCACTGTCATCTCAGGAGGAGGGAGGAAGGGGTGTGTCGGACTTAATAAAAAATATAGCCCTGTGGGATGTGTGTGGAGGACCTAATACAGCTTCATGAATCTCAGCATGGGACCAGCTCTAGGGAGTTCCTATTTAGTCCTACTTGTGCTAAATGGCCCATAATCAAAGGAATGACTCTTTGCAATGGTGGAAATAGCATCCATTAATGCTTGTGTTTAGTTGACTTCTGCTGTCTTAACAGGATGTCTGGATAACAAGTGTATACAGTCAATTTTTTTGTAGAACTGATACAAAATATACTGCCTTGAGGAGGTGGGGAATAAAGAGTTGTTTATCAGTTGCCTAAAGCTGTATTGTGGTTTTTTCCTTCCTCTCTAGCTAAACATACTGGCCTGTGGAATAGTAGGCTCTTATGCAGTGATCCTAGCTATTGCTTGTTATGTCTACACAAGTCTTGCTTATATCACATTGGATATACTCCGAAGGATTCTCAATGATTACTTCAGCAGAGCTTACACCAATGTACCTTTTCAAACAAATGGTGAGTGCTGCTCTTAAGACTTTTTTTTTGGTTCCATTATAAACAGTGAGTGTTGAGGGTAGTAAGGGATGAAAGGAGAACACTAAGTATGGTGTGAGATTTAACATCCAGATTAATAGATTCTAGTCCTTCGAAAGAGATACTGAGTCAACTCAAAGGCAGCAACCTTCCAGCAGGTGTTATGTGACAAAGGCACTTGTGGAAGGTGCTGCTCAGGCTTGCACTGCCACCTTGCTGATGAGTTTGCAGAGTGGGCAGTCAAAAGGCCTAATATGGTGACTGAACAGGCTCATCTCACTCCATGTGTTCTTGCCTTTGCATTGATATCCTCTAGATGTGTGAGGATGCAGAGGCAATACTTCATTCCTTTCTGTTGCTAAACTTGTTCAGTGTTTGTGCTTGGGGAAGGAAAGAATGTTCTGCTTTGATACAGGAATCTGTTTCTTTTTTCACTTTCAGACTTCATTATCCTGTCAGTGTGGGCAATGCTAGCCCTCAGTGGAGTAACTGTGCAGCTTCGCCGAGAGAGAAGTGAAGTGCCCTTCCCACCGCACCCCTATCTCACCTGGAAGCGGGAAAGGGAGCGCAGAAGCACTAATGTGTTGGACCCTAGCCATCATATCCCTCCCCTAAGAGAGAGGATCCATAACAAGCTACTGCATATCAAAGAATTTTTTCAGAAAGAGCAACCGGCTGGGGAAAGAACTCCATTGCTTCTATAGTCTGCAACATAACTGTTGGGAACAGAGAGGAAGAATATAGAAATGGTGAAATGAATGATTACCAGCAAACCAGCCAGTGGTGCTGGATTTGCCACCACCAACTTGTCCTGCTTAATAAGAGGATCAAATTAGCCAAACCTGGAAGAAAAGTTATCTGTCTGGTACACTACATGTTGTTCTGTGACTCTTCCTTGATGGCCCACTCAGCCTGCTGTAACATGCGCGTGTCTAGCTGCAGAATCTTGTACTAATGGTCAAGTACAGGTATTTATCCTGTGGTGATGTAGTTTGACGTTTAGGTGTGTGAAGTATAAAACAGCCCTTAGAAAGCAACCTGTACAATGCTGGTTCTTCCCTCACAATGTGGAAACCACTGCTGAAATATTGCCTGACTTGCTTCTGGGGGTGAGCAGTCTGAAATTGTGAGGGAAGAGAGATAAGGACCATACACAGAGTTCTTCTACCAGGAACTGAAGTATCACCTTCTAATAAAGGTACAAAATGTGTGGCTGCAGACACAATTGTTTCCCAGAAGTATTGCTTGCAAGCTAAAACTAAGTGACTTGAATTTAAACTGCACTGAACTAACTGTTGTAAGTGTGTGCACTGGGGCTCAGGAAGCGGACTTGATCTGAGACAAGATGACTTCCTCCCTCCCTTTCAGATGGTTCTGTAGCAAGCTGGTCATCTGGTCTCTGTGCAGAGATGACTGCTAAGAGAACACAACAGGTTTGCCTCCTTGTTTGCTTTCTGAACAGCCTGTATCTTGCTTCTGTTCTGATCTAATCTCTTATTTGATGGTGCTGTCACAAAAGAAAAAACTACAAAGAGCTTATTTAGCCAACAGCAGTCCCCCCCCCCGGAATTGGTTGAAACACTAACTATTTTAATTTTTAATCAATGTATCTTTTAACTTTGCCTTTAAGTGGGGAAAACAGCATCCAGCTGGCAAAATACTGACCAGGATCCTTGCTGACTGATTGTGTTCCTTGCCAATTTGCATTGCATCTGCCCAAAGCAGAATGCAGTAAAACAGATAAGGGACCACTCTTGTGTTTAGTGAACTGCCGTGTCATGTGGTGGCTTTATTCAACTCCTTGAAAACAAAACAAACAGCCATTTTCAAAATGCAAACTGGAGCATTGTGGGTTTGGTTCACATAAATGCACAAGCAGTCCTGAGGCTGTCCTTGGTTTTACCTGCCCTTGCTCCCTGTGCCCAATCCTGGTCTTGAAGTTCAGTGCTTATGCAGTGATCTGTCATGCATTAAATGATGGTGGAAGTCTTGCATCCCGTACCTTGATACAAGTTATGGTGGCTCTTTCTTCTTATTCTCGCTGTCTTTGTACCTTTGATGTGGGCAGCAAAGTGCATAGTCCTTCCTGTCTGAAGGCAAATGGCCATTCTGCTACCTGAACAGAACTGCCATGAGTGAATACCCTAGTGGTGGAAACTTAAGTTCTCAGCCACCACTTTAAATTCTTGGTAGTATGTATGTAAGAAACAACTCTTTGAGGAAACTGGCCAAAAAAACTTTGAGAACTTAGTTGAAAGTTAAAACACCCTTGCAGTAGAAAGGAATTAATGACTTTAAAATTACTTATTGGCCATTTCTTTTTGAGGAGTGAAAGCTTGGTGACATAATATCCAAGGTGACTGAGTTGATCTGATGTTTAGAGAGACAAATCCCATTGTCACCTGGAGCTGAAACATCTATATAAAATAGCATGGCAAGGCTGAAATCCTGCAATTTGAGTCTTGCTTCACTGTGCTGTTCTGTGTGGCACATGGGGGTAAATGAGG